ATGCGGCGCGCAGAGGGAGAGCACCTCTCGGCTGCACCTCGGCTGCACCCCGGCTGCACCCCGGCTGCACCTCGGCTGCACCTCGGCTGCACCTCGGCTGCACCTCGGCTGCACCCCGGCTGCACCCCGGCTGCACCTCGGCTGCACCTCGGCTGCACCTCGGCTGCACCTCGGCTGCACCCCGGCTGCACCTCGGCTGCACCTCGGCTGCACCTCGGCTGCACCCCGGCTGCACCCCGGCTGCACCTCGGCTGCACCCCGGCTGCACCTCGGCTGCACCCCGGCTGCACCTCGGCTGCACCCCGGCTGCACCTCGGCTGCACCCCGGCTGCACCTCGGCTGCACCCCGGCTGCACCTCGGCTGCACCCCGGCTGCACCCCGGCTGCACCTCGGCTGCACCTCGGCTGCACCTCGGCTGCACCTCGCGCAGGTGCTCGCCGACGAGGAGGCGTACGCGTGCGAGGCATGCGCCAAGGCGTTGGGCGAGCGAGAGGGCGAGCAGGCGCCGGGCCAGCGCGGCGGCGGAAAGAGAGACACGCCCGTTCCCTCTCGCCGCATGCCCCCCCCCCCCATTCAACGCAGCACCGCTCCGCGGCAACTTGCTGGAGCCTTCCCGGAAGCGCCCCGCAGGCAGCCTCCGTCCAGGTTGCGGCGGCGGAGGGCGCGGGCGAGGGCGAGGGCGAGGGCGAGGGCGAGGGCGCAGAGACATAGTAGTTCCATTTCACTGTGGCACAGCTCGCGAAGGAAGAAGTTACATAAACCTTGGTTTGACTATTGTACCTCTCGGTGCCTTCCAGAGGCAGCTGTCACCCCGCCGAGTAGACGGTTGCACACAGCAGGTGGCGCGGTGTGCAACCGTCCACTCGGCGGGGTCGCAGCTGCCTCTGCGCGTCCTGGGGAGGTACAATAGTGTCGCCGCCGGAGACGACTCGACGCCGCTGAGATCGGAGATCAAGCTCTGACAGGTCGCACGTCGCTCCTTTGACGCCGACGTGACTCACCCGTGCAGATCACATCAGGACACGGTCTCGACGCGCTCGGTACGACGCCTGCGACCCGTCTCGGGTCAGGTGGCACGACGCTCATCGCGCCTACCAGCGCTGCCATGCAGGTTGCCACGACGAGGTCGAGCACGCTTCTATACGCTCGCCGAGCCTTCCTTTCCATCCCATTAGGCAGCCTGGGAGCGGTGGCGGTCAGAGGCAAAGCCTACGAGGGGTGGTGGAACCACATGTCACGGCTACTGCCGGCTCGACCCCACCATAGCCTCCGAGGGCTGACTTTGCGGCACCATCATCGGACGATGTCGACGAGTTGAGTCGCGCTCGCGGTAGCCAGATGACCTCTCATACTAGTATCATCGGCCAGGGCCGCAGCGCGCAGGAAGCGCGGGGGAGCGGGAGGGCGCTGGGACGAACACACGGAGTTCCGTTGGACGCGTTTTCAAGATTAGCGTGTCAGAGTGAATTGGAACTAAAGCCGATTTTACTTTTTAGCCAATGCCGTCTCACCAAGGTAAGGTAAGGTACGCCAACCACCGAACCAGGCCGCATGTACATACTCGCCGGAGCGACCCCAACTAACAACTAAGGCCGTGCCCGGGCATCGGCATTTGCACAAAAAAGGCCGTACACACATGCGCGACGCGCGATACACACACACATACTCGCCGGAGCGACCGACCCCAACTAAGGCCGTGCCCGACGAAGTGGTGGGCCGCCCTCTGATAGACAGACGCCACCCGCGAAAGCTAGCGGTCACGCCTCGGACAGCAGCGCCTTTGTGCGCTCGTACGCGACTAGCCGGCTCGCCGTGACGAGCACCGCCCGTGACGTGCTCGCCAGCGCGCCGCGATAGAAGCCTGCGCGCCATGAACACACCAGGGTCGGGGCGGGAATACGTGCAGTGTACTCGGAGCACCGCGATAGTACGAGGGCTACGAACACAGCTGAACGCCGCTCAACACAGTCGAGTGCGTGTCCTCTCGAGTGCTGGTCGGAACACGCGGGGGTCTGGACTCCGCATCTGGGGGCTCGAGATGTGGGGAGATGTGGGGAGATGTGGGGAGATGTGAGATCTCGTCGTTCGCATCTAGGCGTCGAGATGTGGGGAGATATGGGGAGATGTGGGGAGATGTGGGGAGATGTGAGATCTCGTCGTTCGCATCTAGGCGTCGAGATGTGGGGAGATATGGGGAGATGTGGGGAGATGTGGGGAGATGTGAGATCTCGTCGTTCGCATCTAGGCGTCGAGATGTGGGGAGATATGGGGAGATACTCCGCATCTAAGCCTCGAGATGTGGGCAGATGGGGAGATATGGGGAGATACTCCGCATCTAGGGGCAGATGCCGGCCACCCCTCCTCGCTCCCACACGTGCCGCGTCGCGCCGGCGACCGTCGACAGCGGCGGCGCCTGCGGCGGAGGGAGGGGAGGCGCAGATGCGGCGACTCTCGGGCGGTCCTGTCGGCTCCTGTCTACTCCTCTCTGCTGCCTCTCGGCTGCCTCTCGGCCCCTCTCTGCTCCTCTCTGCTCCTCTCTGCTCCTCTCGGCTCCCCTCGGCCCCTCTCGGCTCCTCTCGGCTCCCCTCGGCTCCTCTCGGCTCCTCTCGGCTCCCCTCGGCTCCTCTCGGCTCCTCTCGGCTCCCCTCGGCTCCTCTCGGCTCCTCTCGGCTCCTCTCGGCTCCTCTCGGCTCCTCTCGGCTCCTCTCGGCTCCTCTCGGCTCCTCTCGGCTCCCTCTCGGCTCCTCTCGGCTCCTCTCGGCTCCTCTCGGCTCCTCTCGGCTCCCCTCGGCTCCTCTCGGCTCCCTCTCGGCTCCTCTCGGCCCCTCTCTGCTCCTCTCTGCTCCTCTCGGCTCCTCTCGGCTCCTCTCGGCTCCTCTCGGCTCCCTCTCGGCTGCCTTGTTTGCGGCGGCGCGGTCAAGCGGCTGGCTCTGCTGCACCGACTTGACCGTGTCGAAGCCGTAGCAGCTCAGCCATGCGAGCGCACCGACCGGAGCGCTGAGCGCGAGCACGTGGCCGCTGTGCAGCGCCTGCGGGCCGTGTCGCGGGCGTGTCGTGGACATGTCGTGGACATGTCGCGGGCGGGTCCGGCACGTGTCGCGGACGTGTCTCGGAGGGGTCGAAGACGTGTCTCGGAAATGTCTCGGAGGTGTCTCGGACGTGTCTCGGACGTGTCTCGGAGGTGTCTCGGAGGTGTCTCGGAGTAGTCGAAGGTGTCTTGGAGCTGGGCCGTCTCTCGTATCCGAGGTCCGTGTCGTGTCTCGGACATGTCTCGGACGTGTCTCGGAGGTGTCTCGGCCGTGTCTCGGACGTGTCTCGGACGTGTCTCGGACGTGTCTCGGACGTGTCTCGGACGTGTCTCGGACGTGTCTCGGACGTGTCTCGGACGTGTCTCGGACGTGTCTCGGACATGTCTCGGAGGTGTCTCGGACGTGTCTCGGACGTGTCTCGGAGGTGTCTCGCACATGTCTCGGACGTGTCTCGGACGTGTCTCGGACGTGTCTCGGACGTGTCTCGGACGTGTCTCGGACGTGTCTCGGACGTGTCTCGGACGTGTCTCGGACATGTCTCGGAGGTGTCTCGGACGTGTCTCGGACGTGTCTCTCCTGCTCCCCATGCGCGAGCTCGAGCCGCTGCCGCAGCCTCGAGTAGAGGCCGAGATACACCGCCTGGAGGGGTCATGTCGCGGGCATGTCGCGGACGTGCCACGGCAGCCCGCGAGCAGGGAAGCCGGAGACAAGGGCACGCCGTGAAGACGCCCTCGCGGAGCATGTTCATCGAGCCGCCGACCGAGAGCCTGTTAGGTAATAAAAAGAATTCAACCAGCGCATGAAAACAAGAAAGGCCGCCGACCGAGAGCCTGTCCGAGGGTCCTCGTACTGAGGTAGTACTGTACACCCGACCGGCCGAGGCCGTGAGAGGTGCTTTCGCGGCGCTAGCTGGAACGCTGGGATTGCGCCCTTCTTCCGCACATCTAGGAGCACGGCGCGTGGACGCGACTCCGACGGCGCCGGACCGCGCCGCCAGCCGCCGGAGGATCGAGAGCGGGTGTCCGCCCCGGAGCTGCACCTGGATCTTGAGCAGGTCCATCGGCGTCGAGAGAAGAGACTGCGCGAGGCCAGAGACCGCGCCTGCTGCTAGCGCGCCTCCCGTCGTGTCTGGCAACGCCGACCGCACCTCTTCGAAGACGACGAACATGACCGTGTTCATCAGCACCGAGTTGAGGAGCGGCACGCCGACACCGCGAAAGAAGGCGGGCACGCCGCTCTCTCGCAGCATCGCCAGTGCACACGCCCACGTCGTCAGGCCGGGCTGCTGCAGGTGCTGCATCCGCACCTTGACCGCGTCAAGCGGCGCGCCGAGGATGGTGGAGGCAAAGCCGGCCGCAGTCCCGGCGATGAGCTCGTCGGTGATGCTCGACATGGACTGTGTTTTTGCTGCTGCCACGCGTACTCAGAAAAGCGCGTACGACGAGCAGTTCGACGACGCGCAGGCCGAAATACTTTTTTGCGGACTGGCGTCGTCGCGAGCCGTCGCACACGGTGCGCGCCAGCGAGCAGCAGGGTTCGGACTTTTTGCGGGGTATGGTATGGTGCGCCCACATCGAGATCATACCCCCCCGCCTGCTGACAGACCCAACCTCCCGGAGACCGGGGATGGGCGGTCAGGACCATACCCCCCCACCCTTTGGGCCGTGAGACTACCATACCATACCCCGCAAAAAGTTGGAACCCAGCGCAGACCGCAGCTGGTTGTTGAGAAAATCTGTCGCGTGGCCATCACGCTCGCACCTGCCGACCGCCGCCACGCACGTGCTCCCTGTTTGTTGTGGACGTCGCCGGCTCCCTGTTTGTTGCTCACGCTGGCCGGCGTGTAAAACTGTGCTGGCAGTTGTCAAGCCGTACCCGTCGCGTTTCGAAAAAGAGCCCTCGATCGACCCCTCTAACACAAAAACAATCTCCCCTCTACACGCACTGTGTCACCGCTCTGCACAAATGCTACCGTGGACATCAAGCTCCTCGACTCGATCTGCGGCTACGACGGCGCTCTAGCTGCTGGCTCTCGCGGGTGTCTGGCGACCCGCTCAGGCTTGCGAAACGGCCGGCCGTGGCGACGTGTTTCGAGCTCGGTGGTCTTCTCCGCCCGGATGGGGCCGCTCCTAGTCGGGGCCGACCCGCCCGGTCACTGGGCAGCGCGTGCGCCGTCATCCTGGACGACGGTGTCCTGTGCCGATGCATCCGGGAGGCTCCGCGGGGCTGCTCTAGCAGCCTCGGGAGGGTCGAAAATCGAAGCCGGAGCAGCGGACCACGGAAGCTCCACGGACGGTGAGGCGGGCTGTGGTTGGCCCCCCCCGACCGGGTGAGGGAGTGGCGCCCCGGGAGTGCCGCTCCGGCGACGTCCGTGGCCTCCATAGCACTGTGACCGCGGTGCTCGCTCTCGCGGCCGTCTCGCGACCCGCTCGAGACGAAAACCGGACCGGCCGGTGCGACGCACCGCGAGTGGGATGGTCTTCTCCGCCCGGCTGGGCCCGCTCCTAGTCGGGGCCGACCCGCCCGGTCACTGGGCAGCGCGTCCGCCGTCCCTCCGGGATGTGAGGGGCCGATGAGTCCCTCGGCCCGCGCGGAAGTGTCTCGGAAACACGGAAAGGCCTCGTGGAGCCGGACAGACGACGCAGCCGCGAAGGGCCCGAGGTGCTTCGCCGACGGTGAGGGCTGTGGTTGGAGCCACCGGGCGGGAGGCGGGCATGGTCCACCAGCGGCATGGCTGCGAGCACGCTGGCCGGCTCCACGGCACTGTGACCGCGCTGAAGCAGCCCTCGGCAAGGCCCCTGAGGCCGCCGGAGAGCCTAAAAGTGTGAGCGGGTGCGTATATAACGGGAAGGACAGTACTCCCCGCAGCTTACTCGAACCCGCCGCCACCCGTACCTCGCTCCAAACCATGCCGGAGCAGCTCTGGTCGTGCTCGGGACGGGGAGAGGAAAGTTCGGGGCACAAGAGCGTCGAGTAAAGTCCGGGGAAACTGCGGGATCGGTGCCATTATACCCGTGGCCCGGGACCCGGCGGCGAAAGTTTGGTCCCGTTCGGCCACACGGACGTTAGCGGCTGTGGTTTCGGCCTGCACCCTCTCACGGCTCCGAGAGGGGCTCGAGAGGCCGGAGACAGGTCACCTTGGCGCTCGCGTCGAGCTGCGAGGCCGCATCCGAGGCCGCCAGGCCGTTGGTAGCACCAGATGGAACGCCCGCGCAGCCGATTTTATGCGCGAAAAGTACCCGACGGACTCACGAGGGCACACACTCGGCGGTCTCGCGACAGAGACGGCTCACGGGGAGGAAAGAACATAAGCTAAGGATGGGGACGCGGTTAGGGGTGCCGTCTTCGAGTCTGGCGGCTCGCCCGGGACGAACGCTCGAGCCTCCGCCCCTCGGACGGGCTCCGGAGAGCGCGCGTACCACCGCGTCGGCGGGCGGCGGAGCTGGCGGGAACGGCAGGACCGAAGGCGGCGACGCGGGAGACCGGTGCGGTCGCAGCGCCGCAGAGCTACAGCACCACGACCGCATCGACTGAGCGCATCGGCATGCGCGAGAGGAGGGTGTGCGGGTGCATGCCCGGGCCGTGAGGGCTGGCCGAAGCGCCGCGTCGCGGTCGGGCGGCCGCCAGCATGCGATTTTGAGAGAAGAGGCCTCATTCACAATTCTCAAGAACCACCTTCGAAAAGTACGCGACACCCGATCTACACCTTCTATGTATCAACAAACCAGTAGCGCGCTGAGCCCCCGCTGTGCGCTGACGTCCGTGGCGTGTGCGCGCGCGGTATGCTGTGCAGCGTGAAGGTCGTCCGCTCAGACAATCTGGCGGTCCTGCGTCGCTGACGCTTCCACAACGTCGTCGCCATTCGACGGCTCCGTTTGTGTAGAGGGGCCGCGGATCGCTAGAGCGAGGGCGGTGGCGCGGCGCGCGCGCGACTGAGCCGTCTGCTTGGTCGCGCCGAGCGCCTGTGCGAGGAGGGCGAGCGACACCTGCCGGTGCGGGCCCGCGTGGCAGCCGACGGCGAGGTCGTAGTACAGCCCATCGGCAATCAGGTCGCGTGGCGTCACCTCGAAAAAGTGGCCAAAGATGCAGCCGCCGCAGAGAGCGTCGTTCTCGTGCGCCATGACGATCGGCAGCCTGGCGCGGCGCGCGGCGCGCACCTGCTCTGCGAGCGCCTCGGCGCCATCGCCGGCCCACGTCGACCTGTTCAGGTAGAGCAGCATGTGCGTCGCCTCGTCGCCATCTCCGCCGCTGTCGCTCGAGTGAGGCAGCGAGGAGAGGCGCGAGGGCGTTGCGTCGGTGATCGAGACGCCGCCAGCCACGGCCGCCGCGACCGATTCGGCGAGATCTCGCGCCCCGGCGTTCAAAGTCGAGGCCCAGAGAACCACCGGCTTGGGGAAGGCGAGGTCGTCGGCTCGGACCTCGCCCGGGATGCACAGGGGCAGCTCGTCCTCTCCCTCGTACTTTGGCGTCTTCAGCAGCAGCGCCTCGGCGATGACCTTGAGCGAGACGTGCTGGAAGGCCTCGATCCGATGCCACACCGCCATCGGCCAGCCGGCGTCAAAGATGGCGGCCCGCAGCTCCTCGGGGCACTCGGATCGCAGCTCGGCGAGCGTGCCTCCGCCCTTGTCCGGGTCTGCCTCGTGGACGAGCACGAGCGGCTTGCCCATCTCCAGCGCGGCGCGGACCTCTCGCAGGCAGTTCGTCGAGCGCAGGTAGCCCCGCGACAGGAAGCAGAGCACCACCTGCGAGCGACGAATGTACGCCTCCAGCTCTCCGATGTTCTTGAGGTCGTCGACGTCGAGGAAGATCTCGCAGCCGGGCAGGAACTGCTGCAGCTCGTTCTTGATGACGGCGACGGCGTCCTACGAGGGAGAAAGGCAGGTCAGGTACCTTCTTCTCCGCACACGCAAAGCCGTGGGCCAGGGGGGGCGGTAAACCTGGCCCGTGCTCCAGACGTGGCTGAGGAAGAGGTGCCACTGCTGGCCGTCGGCGAGGGTGATGCCGTCGCGCATCGGCTCCCGCATCGAAGAGGCGAGCCGCATGGTCTTCGCCCTCGAGGCGCTGACCGCCAATACAACGATGACGGCTAGCGAGATGGCGAGCATGACCGCGGTGAGGACGACGACGAAGGTGGTGGCGCCGCGAGAAGTCGTGTAGCCAACGAGGTTGTAGCACATGTCTTCGTACGCGGTGCTGTCGCACAGCTGCGGCGGTGGGGAGCGGGTGGTGTGAGGTTGCGCGGATGAGGGAGAGAGAGGGAGGCGAGGAAGTGCCAGCAGGGGCGCGGACCTGGATGACCACTCCCGAGGCGAAGCAGCAGGTCAGGAGCAGGTTGGCGATGCACGCGAGGCAGAGGTCGTCGGAGCGCCGGTAGGGTCGGGCGAGCGCTAGGCAGGTGAGAAACATGGCCGAGACGATGGCGGCAACCACGGTGCGCAGCAGCTTGCGGGAGCCGTAATCCTGGTCGATGAAGAGCACCATCGAGGTGAGGAAGATCTTGCGGACCAGGTCGAGCACCTCCCAGAAGAGGAAGCGGCCAGAGTAGTCCCGCCACAGGAAGCTCGTTGCGCGAGAGAGCGGCGTTGCGCGCTGCGCAGCCACGGGCTTGCGGACGCGGAGCAGCAGCGCCAGGAAGCCGAGCGGCACGAGGACGGGCCAGAGGGCGAAGAAGGCCCAAAAGTACGGTGCGAGTCCGCTCGCCTCGTCTTCCCACGTAGGGCCGGCGTCGCACGTGAGCGACGGGTCGGCGAGCAGGAAGCTGATGCGCTGGCCTGTCGCGTCGTCGTAGCGAAAGGACTCGCACAGCCTCGCGCTGAAGATGGAGCGCGAGACGGAGGGAAGCACCAGGTAGAAGATGAAGATCGCCCAGTAAAGGAGGCGGCCAAGCAGCTGGCGGTCGAATGCCTGCTTGTTGTTGAGGACCGCCGCCGCCACCACAATGGCGAGCGACACGAAGGCGACAGCGGCGTACGGCCAGGTGCCCGCGACGAGCAGCCGCGTGCTCATGGCTCCGATGCAGCTGCCGGGGATGGCGACGCCAAACAGGTCCAGGCTGAACAGCTTGAGCACGGCGAGCCAGCGGGTAAAGTGCTCGTCGAGGCGGACGCCGTAGACGAGGCCGAGGATGCTGCTCACCTGGTAGAAGCTGACGACGACCTTGAACTTGGGCTGCAGGCCGACCGCGGACTCGATGCGGGCGGCCCGCCTTCGGAGGCGGCGGGAGAAGGGGAGGCGACGGAGCCCAGCGTAGGCGGCGGCGAGCACAGCGATGACGATGACAAAGCCGACAAAGATGCCGGCGGAGCGAGCCGTCGAGGGGCAGGCCACGCAGCGCCCCTCGGCAGAGCTAAAGTAGTCCGAGTCCTCGACGCAGACCTCGCAGAGCGGGCCGGTGTGGCCGGCGGCGCAGTACGGGTCGCCGTCTCCGTCGGTGAGGCGGCGGCGGCGGGAGGGCTGGCCGGAGCCACCAGAGCACGTCTCTGAGTCACAGCGGTGGAGCTCCGAGGTGGCGGCGGAGGCGCGCCAGTAGCCGGCGTCCACGCCGAGGGACGCGAGAGTGGTGCCGGCGTTGCAGTTGGCGTGAAGCGGGCACGACTTGCAATGGTCGGTCGGGTTCTCAAATACGTCGTCTGGATCGGCGCTCGCGTCCTTCAAATAGAAGTCCTCTTTGCAGATGGAGCAAGTGACGTCGCCGCTCTTGGAGCTGAGGGGGTGGGGGCAGAGAGTGCACTGCGAGAGGCCCTCGCTCGCTGCGTAGGTGTCCGCCTCGCACTCCTCGCAAGCGGTGCCGGAGGCTGCGTAGTGGCCGATAGGGCAGAGCTCGCAAGCGGGCATGTTGGCCGAGGGGGCGATGCTGCCTGGAGCGCACGCCGTCTGCTGCGTCGAGCCCGTGGTGGCGAAGTGGCCCGGTGAGGCGTCGGTGCACTCGCTCGCGGCGGTGAGGTTGGTCGCGGTCGAGTAGGAACCCGCCTCGCACGGCAGCGCCGCCGCCGCGCCAACAGCGCAGTAGCCGCCCGCCTCGCACGGCTTGCACGCCGTCTGCGCCTCCGCGTCCTGGTACGTGCCGGCGGAACAGGGCGTGCACTCGCCCTGTCTGGTCTCGTTCGTGTACGACCCCTTGGCGCACGCCGTCTGCTGCGTCGAGCCCGTAGCGGCGAAGTGGCCCGGCGAGGCGTCGGTGCACTCGCTCGCGGCGGTCGCGCCCTGGTAGGAGCCCTCGGCGCAGAGCTGGCAGACCTCGTTGCGCGTGCCGCTGGCGAAGCTGCCCTCGCCGCACGCCGTCTGCTCGGTGGCGCCCCGGGCGGCGATGTGGCCCGGAGCGGCGGGCGTGCACTGCGAGGCGGCCGACAAATCCGTCTTGTTCGAGTAGGACCCGCCCTCGCACGGCAGCGGCCTCGACGCGCCCGGCTCGCAGTAGCTGCCTTTCTCGCAGTCGCGGCAGCCAGTTGCGCCCGTGTCGTTCTGGTACGTCCCGCCCTCGCATTGCGCGCACTCGGAGAGGCCGCCCGTGGCGGCGTAGCTTCCCTTGGCACACGGCGTCTGCTGCGTCGAGCCCGTGGTGGCGAAGTAGCCCGGCGAGGCGTCGGTGCACTCGCTCGCGGCGGAGAGGTTGGTGGCGTTCGAGTACGACCCGGCGGGGCAGGGAAGGGGCACGCTCGTCCCCTCCGGGCAGACGTGGCCAGCATCGCAGGGCAGCGCCTCATAGGTCGCCTCTGTGGGGCACTGGGAGCCTGCGGGGCAGCGGCCGGCGCAGCTGCTGCTCGACTGCTCCTTTGGGTCGGCCGAGCCGAGGAGGCCGGCGGCGCAGGCAAAGGGGAAGTCCTCATCGACGGGCAGCAGCGGCAGCTGGTAGAGGTCATCGCCGAGGAGGGAGGGGTCGCCGCCCCGCGTGCTATCCCAGTTGCACGGCTGCACGAAGGTCGGGTTCTGGCAGTACCAAGGCGGCTGGTCGACTGCTGCGACGGCGAGTGCGCAATCTTCGCGGTGCTCGAGGCAAGCCGTCTGCTTGCACACGCCGCGCTCGTCGCAAGCCTGTGATTGCTTGCACCGTTCGACGTTTTTGCTGCACGAGGGGTAAGAGCACGCCTCCCGGTACACCTCGCAGCGCGCGTTCGGCAGCCAGCGGCCAGCGGGGGCGGGGAGGGTGTAGGAGACCTCGCCAGCTAGAAGGAAGACGGAGCGGCCCTCTTGGGCCAAGCAGCCGCTGATGAGAGTGCCGTCACTCAGGGTGGTGCGCCCGCCCGCCGAGTAGAGGCCGCCGCCAGACAGGGCAGAGCAGCCGCTGATGAGTGTGCCGTCGCTCAGGGTGGTGCTCCCGCCCTCCGAGTAGAGGCCGCCGCCAGACTCTGTGGCGATGCAACTGGAGATGGTTGAGCGGGCCAGGCTGGCTCTGGCTGAGCCCGAGTCCATGTAAACTGCGCCGCCTCGCCAGGCATTGCAGCCGAACATGGTGGAGTCGGTCACGTTGAGGTCGGTGTCAGCCGTGTATGTAGCTCCGCCGCCCTGCGGTTGCGAGGAGAGAGCGGGGTGAGGCAGCCGTGACCCCTCTCTACCTCTCGCCCCGCTGCCGTGCGGCGCTGCTGGGAGGCGGCTAGCTCTACGCAGCGCACATAGCCAGCCGAGCAGCCCGACACGGCCGAGCCGATTATCGAGACCGCACCGCTGTCCTGCGCCCAGACGACGCCGCCGTACTGCGGTTTCGAGGATAGAGCGGGGTGAGGCAGCCGTGGCCCTCTCTATCACTCGCCCCGCTGCCGTGCGGCGCTGCAGGGCGGGCGGCTAGCTCTACGCGGCTAGCTCTACGCGGCGCACTCGAGCAGAGCAGCCCGACACGGTCGAGCCGATTATCGAGACCGCACCGCTGCTAGACGCGAAGACCACGCCGCCCCACTGCGGTTGCGAGGAGAGAGCGGGGTGAGGCAGCCGTGGCCCTCTCTACCTCTCGCCCCGCTGCCGTGCGGCGCTGCAAGGAGGGCGGCTAGCTCTACGCGGCGCACATCAGCAGAGCAGCCCGAAACGGCCGAGCGGGTTATCGAGACGGCACCACTGCGCAGCGCCCTGACGACGCCGCCGACCTGCGGTTGCGAGGAGAGAGCGGGGTGAGGCAGCCGTGGCCCTCTCTACCTCTCGCCCCGCTGCCGTGCGGCGCTGCAGGGCCGGCGGCTCTACGCGGCGCACATTGCCAGCCGAGCAGCCGGCGACGGTCGAGCCGATTATCGAGACCGCACCACTGTCCTGCGTCCAGACGACGCCGCCGAACTGCGGTTGCGACGAGAGAGCGGGGTGAGGCAGCCGTGGTCCTCCTATCTCTCATCCCGCTGCCGTGCGGCGCTGCACGGGTGCGGCTAGCTCTACGCGGCGCACATAGGTAGCCGAGCAGTCCCTCACGACCGACTCGATGATCTCGACGTCGCCTGCGCCAATCGCGTTCACAACGCCACCGTAGTCCGCCCTCCCGTTGACGAGGGTCAGCCCCCGCAGGGTGAGGCTGCAGCCGCCCTTGAGGTAAAAGAGCCTGGTCTTTCCCTGGCCGTCGAGCGTCGCGCCCTCGCCGCTGCTCGCGACGGTCACTTTGATGGTGGAGGTGCAGCTGATCTGGCTGCTCAGCTTGAAGTGCGCACTGGGAGGCAGGTAGATGGAGACGTCGGCAGACGTCGGCTCCTCGATCAGGTTGCGGAGCTGGTCCTCGCTCTCCGCGGCGACATAGCCGGGGGAGAGCGGCGGCAGCGGCGGCGGCGGCGGCGGTGTTGGCGGTGATGACGGTGAAGGCGGCGGAGCTGGCGGTGAAGGCGGTGAAGGCGGTGGAGGCGGCGCTGATGGCGGTGAAGGCGGTGGAGGCGGTAGAGGCGGCGCTGGTGGCGGTGGAGGCGGCCGGGTCGCCCAGCAGATCTGACGGCAGAGGGAGGATAGGCGTCAGAGAGGAGACGGAAGGGGAGCGAGAGGGACCAGGCGCGCGCCTTCCAGCCCGACCCGACTACGCTGTAATCCGATCGCCACTCGATAACGCCGTCCTCCGCCACCGCGCCACTCGGCCCCGAGGTGCCGCAGTACTTTGTGCCGTTGACGGTGAGATAGTCGAAGGGGCAGCCGTCGCCCGCCTCCACATCAAAACCGATCAACTCCAGCCCGACCGTCGGCACGCCGCTGATGGTGCACGCCTCGTTGTTGCCGTAGCTGTTCGGGTAGTTTGGCGACGCGGCGCACGAGCCGCCGTCGGTGAGCGAGCACGGGCCGGTGATGAAGTAGCCGCCAGGGAGAAGCGGCGGCGGTGGAGTGGGTGCCATTTGAGACGGGTACGGCGGTGGAGGCGGCCGGGTCGCCCAGCAGATCTGACGGCAGAGGGAGGATAGGCGTCAGAGAGGAGACGGAAGGGGAGCGAGAGGGACCAGGAGCGCGCCTTCCAGCCCGACCTGACTACGACGTCATCCGATCGCCACTTAATGACGCCGTCCTCCGCCACCGCGCCACTCGGCCCCGAGGTGCCGCAGTACTTCGTTCCGTTGACGGTGAGGTAGTCGTAGGGGCAGCCGTTGCCTGCCTCCACATCAAAGGCGACCGTCTCCAGCTCGACCGGCGGCACGCCGCTGATGGTGCACTCCTCGCTGTCGCCGTAGCTGTTCGGGTAGTTTGGCGACGCGGCGCACGAGCCGCCGTCGGTGAGCGAGCACGGGCCGTCGACGCAGTTTACGCCAGGCTGGCATGGCGACGGCTCGGGTGACGGCGACGGCTCGGGTGACGGCGACGGCTCGGGTGACGGCGACGGCTCGGGAAACTCGGGAAACGGCTCGGGTGACGGCGACGGCTCGGGTGACGGCGACGGCTCGGGCGACGGCGGCGACAGCGGCGGGTTCGGTGGTGGAGAGATCGGTGACGCCGCTGGTATGCCGCGCG